GAAATATCGTCCGGACGATATTTACCTATGAAATCGTGTCCACAGATGTGAAAAAGTCACCTTCAAAGAAAGGACAATTTAGCATATGAAAAAGTGTCCTTCTAAGAAAGGACAGTATTTCACGTGAAAAAGTGTCCACTCTCAATACCTACAAAATGTATACATAGCTTCAGTTCTTTATCTAAATTGAAGTTTTAAAATTAGCATGGGGGGTTTTGTCTCTATTAAAACATTGCATGTAAACTGGTGTATTGAATTCATACAAAATGTGATCATCACCATGTGTAATTAAACATAAATCATACAATAAAACATGTACTGTTTAATACATATACAAACAGTAGTACATAGCTCTTTCTAGCTTACCAATGCAAACTACGAGTCGTACTACTCTCTCTTGTGTTTGTGTTTTTGTTATGAATAGTTGTAAAGTACAGTTCATCATTTTTTTTATTTTATAGTTGGATGCTTTTCTCCTGATAGCTCTTTTCTCATTGTCAGTTGAGGCTGCATGCTGGTGGATACCTTTTGTAGACATCTTTATAGCTAAGATAATGGAAAACTCTTTGGAATTCAACACCTTTAATTTTTGTTTACATCATACTATAAAAATAGTTAATTGGTTTGTTTTAGTAATAGAAAATTAAATATAGCTGAAACATTTCAGTGACTTTTTTATTATCTCCCTTTAAAGGACACTTTCTACTGTGAAAATATGTCCTTTTATTGAAAATCAACCTTTACAGGAGAGAATTTAATAGTATTTTATCATGAAATTATGTCCGATTGAATGGACACTTTTTCACAGCATCGGACATTTAAATATACCTTTTCTGTGAAAAAGTGTTCGAGTGGACACTTTTTCACAGGACACTTTTATGGCTCACACCTTGTCCGTCAATAGAGGGACCGAGATCTGCATTGTGGCGAGTGTTTATATTTGAAAACACGAAGGCACGAATTAAAAAATGGCTGCGCCCGACGGCTACCCTGGGACTATTATGTCCCAGGTCTACCGGTGTTTTTGTCGAGTAATTAAAAACTTGTAAATGACATCGAGTTTGCCGTTTGACGTTTGATCAAGGTATTCTGGCTGTCCGAATGAGTTTTGGTTACAATTCATAAAACGTTCCGTTCTGTTTTTCAAATGATTCATTCGTCCCCATAAATGCACCATTCCATTTAAAATCCGAGAAAAAGGGTGGATGTTTTTCTCTGATGGGTATCAAAAGTCATTTCTTAGGGGCACCGAATGGCTCACGATATATCTGAGGGGTACCCATTTTTTTTTTTTTTTTAGTTTCTGAGGAGTCTTTTCTTGTCTAAATATGTAAAAATGAGGGGTCGATAACACGATTTGGCATCAGGGGTTTAAGGTTCATGTTAACCCTTTGGCAAATAGGGCTGCATTTCCACCTCAAAATTTACTCTTGAGTACAGACAAATCTGTGTATCTGGAAAAGATTTAGGCATAGTATGCTCTAGATAAATAAAATTCAAAAGAATTTAATGTTTTAGAAAATTAAAAACTTAACCGGATTTTGCTGTGCACTTTTTATCGTCCCTGCAGAAGATGATAAAATTAACAAACAGTTGAGTGTCACTTGATATGGTCCACTCGGGTACACAGTTAAAATCACCAATTATTGTCGGGTATCTATTGTGCCTCTATTGTCCATGTCAATCAATACAGTTCACTTTGATTATTACCTATGGGGAAGATAGTTCACTTTAATTCTTACCTATGGGGAAGATCTCAAACCTCTTTCCCAACTTCGTTTATTTTGGCACCTTATGCTGAAATGAAAAAAATCCACTGCAAAATCCTGTTAATTTTTTAGTTTTCTGAAACATACAATGCATTTGAATTTTATTTATCTAGGGCATGCGATGCCTTAAAACTTTTCCAGATACACAGATTTGACTGTACTCAAAGAGTAAATTTTGAGGTGAAAACACAGACATTTTATCTAAAGGGTCCACACGAACCTTAAAGCCAAGCATCTGAGGGATTGAAATTTGCCTGAAAATTTGCTTAAAGGGAAAAGGGGGAGGGGGGTCTTTTTTAATTTTTTATTATAAAATTTATTTTCTACTTATCTATTATCTTTAAACAGCTATGCCCTGCTTGTAATAATTGTCTACTGGCATTGATTTAAATCGCATGAGAATTAATAATTGATTCTTTGAAAGTGAGAAATCAACAGCAAAATTTATCTGTCCCATTGTTTTCTGCTCTTTGGTCGGGTTGTTGTCTCTTTGACGCATTCCCCGTTTCCATTATTAATTTTATTCTAAACATTTTAAACTTATAGCATAAACAAAAAATGTATAATGCTTTGAAGTTGTTGTTGGTTTATTTTTATGGTTCAATGACTTGATCCATTTCTTGTGTTGGTGATTAGGATGTGTATAAGTGTTCCTGTTTTAGTATGTTATAGTAAAAGGGGTCGAAGTTGAGAAAAGACAAAACATGTACATTACAAATCCATTTTTAACCATTATTTTTTTTTTTAAAAAGCCTGTAAGTCGGAGATGTGACATTTATTTTGTTTGTCGATTGTATTGAGTAATTCTTGACTTTGTGGATACTGACTTGTCTATTCTTTTAGACCTTTCCCTTGGAGTCCAGTATTTTTTTTTTTGCCTTTATCTAGTCTATTGTAATATTTAGAAATACTTCAACGATGCATACGAGAACTTGACTTACTGAAATGCTCACTTTACATAAAATAAAGTGGTGTAGGTCTAGCAAAACCTCAAAGGGTCTGACAAGGTGGACAAGTCTGTCAGACCCATTGTCCGACAGACTTTAAAAGATTTCAACAGCTCTGCAAAAGGTCAGAATTTACCTTTTTTGTCTAGGTTGCGACGAGAGTCTCAGAATGCGAGATTTTAATGAAATTCATATATTTTATAAAAAAAACTTTTACTACAATTTTTAAACTCCCCCAAACAAAAAAAATTAAGGAAAAAATCATGGTAACAAATGGTAACCAAATCGTATGATTTCTTTATGATTTGAAAGTGATAAAATTTCCCATGCAAATGAGCTAACAAATCACAGCAACAAATCACAAACAAATTGCTTCCAATTCATAAGCGAATCACAAACAAATTGTCAAGAAATCGTTTTGAAATCATTAACAAATCAGAGGTAATTTCTTCCCTACTTCAAGCAAATCGCAAACAAATTGTTTTCAAATTATAAGGAAATTATAAACAAATTGTTATCAAATCTTTGACAAATCAGAAGTAAATCATATTCCTACTTCAAGCAAATTGCAAAAAATTGTTTTCAAGTTATAAAGAAATTATCAACAAATTGTTTTCAAATCCTTAACAAATCAGAAGTAAATCATGTTCCTACCTCAAGCAAATCACAAGCAAATCGTCAACAAATTGACATCAATCATCAATTCACATATTTTAAAAATCATTTACATCTAGATCAAAATATGTTTTGCCCCTGAGACTCCAAACTTTGAAGTGCACTAGTCTTCATTTTACCTTAGCTCCTCCTCTCATTGTTAAGGAATTACCATATCTGGTTGCCATGAGGGACGACTTGTTCCCTCTGTTAAAAGTTTCTTTTACTTCTCCCGAATGTGACTCTAACGAGATTTGACAAACACATGGGTAACCACGTTTACTAGAAGAATATCGAATAGGCGATGGGTCTTAATTTGGGTCCAACTATACTAATGTAGCTATGCCCTACAGCCCTGGACCTCGACAGTCAACATCATGATAAATTATAACATAAAACTTGCCAGTGAATTTCGTCTGTTAACTCGGGAAGCTAGTCGTTAATTGCATGTCTCGATCTGTCTACACTTCTTTTACACATTTTTATTTTGAAAATTAATTCCTGACAGTACAAAATGATTAAGAGATATTGAAATCCACAGTTTCCGAATTTAAAAGGTCAGCACCTTTGACATGTTTGAATAGTATTAATTGAAAGTGTGAAATTATGAATAAATGACTGAGATTCCTTACCACTGTCATCATTGATAGTATATTTTACTCTTCATCTTGCAGTCTTCTTCGTTTAGTTAATTTAGAACACTATTTGTAATTTGAATTTGACCTCACCCGGAAGTCAGAGATATACATAAACCCAGAAAATCCGAATGCAACAAAATAGTATTCATTGTAGCAAACCATCAATGAATCACACCACGATAGCTAACAAAATTAACAAATCATTTTCAAATCATTTCATATGATATTTTAAGTAAACAAATCATAAAGAAATCACAACATTTTAGCTTACAAAGTTAACAAATCTTTTTCAAATCATTTCATATGATATTCTAAGTAAACAAATCATAAAAAAATCACGTCAAAACAGATACATATTGCTTACAAAGCATAAAATCAAAAGAGATCACAAAGAAATCAGTTTGGGGGAATTTGGCGAATTCTGATTAGTTTATAATTTCTTTAATGAATCGTAAGCAAATGGTACTAACAAATCGCAGAATCACGATTTGAAAGAGATTTGAATACGATTTGAAAGCAATTGTTCATTTATTTTTCTGTTCGGGGGCCTCTAGAATTTCCCATTTAGTTTGGTTATTTAAGATTTTTTGTCCCTCAGTAAAAGTTTGTAATAAAATATACGAATTTCATTAAAATCCAAATACGTATAAATCTAACCACCCGAGAAATCTAATCTTCATTCGAAGGTACAACAGGAACATCATAAGAAAGAGCCAAAACAATTCTATCTAGGAATGGAGATTACTATGAGAAATTAAAATAACAAGGTCATGAGAAACAACGATTCCTATAATCGTTGAATGTACATGTAATTAGAAAAGTGAAATGTCGGGCAACATAAATTATTTGTATTTTGGTATAATATTACAAAATTAAGCTAATTTATCGGTCTGTGTTTACGATCACACCTTCGCAAAGGGGATAATTTCTTTTCTAATGGACAGATTGGTCCGAGGAAAGTTTTTCATGATGACAACAAAGTGCTTGTTATTTTACATTTCAATTTATTTCATAAATTCTAGTATTCAGAAAATCATCAGTTACATATAGTTTACTACTTTGCTGACAACATCCTATTGGTCGCAAATTCAACATTCGGTGTTTGTCCTTAATACTGACATATTTGCTTTGTTTCCCGTTTGGGGAAATAATAACAACATATGTCGATCTTGTTCCAACACCATACACGTATGAATCTTTGTCAACAGTTAGGTCAAAAATCCCTCCCACAACTTCATTATCTTCCCATTTCCATATCAATTTTCCCGCCATACTATAGCATGTTATACTATTTTGTCCCCAGCATTCAGAAATATAAATCTTATCGTTGTGTATAGCAATATGCTCATACTGTGTCTTGTTTCCAATCTTTAATTTAGTGACTTTTCCGCTGATTAAATTTCTCATTTCAATGCCATTTTCTCCACAGCTGTAAACGAGACTGTCATTAAAGTATGTAATTCCATAACAAGGATATTTTGTGTTTATTGTTTTCTGTATTGACTTGTTTTGTAAATTAACAATGATTATTTTCGGGTGACGACTTGATGTAACTGCGACAGTCTTTGAATTGATAGCAGCAATGCTATAAGACCATGATGAAACTCTGACCTTTCTATCTAAAGATCCATCCTGATCTAGAACGACTAAATATCCTTCACACGAATCATCCTCAAGTTCAGTCCACAGTTCCCCAATTTTTCTATTATACAAGTAGACAGGAACTTCTAACATCAATACTTTGTTATTAGTTAAAACTGCTGTTCCACCACACCAGTTGTAACCTTCTCGTTTAACACGAAATGTGTTTGTCAGCATCAACTCTTTTTCAAACGAGTTCTCTTTGATTATCTGTGCTTGCTTTTCCTTCGTCTTTTGATATACAATCTTTGATGGAAGAGATTCGGTTGAAATTTTTCCAAATGATTCCAGAGCAGCCAGAAAATTCGGTAACTTGAGGTCAAAAGTCAAAGAAAACGTTTGTATATTTAAATTCTCATTATTCACAAGTTCCTCGGCTCTATGTTCCTCTATCTCAACTTCTTTTTCGATTTCTTTGATGGCAAAGAAAACCTGAAGATCTGATGCATGTTGTTTCATTGATGTAATTCCATGAAGTAAGTTCAGCGTCTTTTCCTCGTTTGCTTTTAATTCATCGGACACAATCACTAAAGTTTTTTTCATTTCTTTTTCTAAATCTGACAGACTCTTCAAAAGATCGGCCTCTAATTCATCCAAAAGCTTATTTAGCTTTATTCTAAATTGTCTTATTTCATTTTCCAGTTTTTTGTATGTGTGAGTTATTTCTGTGGAATTTTCTTCTTTTTCAATAATTATATTTTTAAAATATTGTTGGAGGTCCCCAAGTCGTTGTTGGAGATCATCCAAAGCCGCAGATGACTTTGATCCACTCACTACATCTTCAAGAGGCAACAGGTCTTCGCATTTTTTGTGTTCTGAATCGATGCACTTAATGCAGCAAGGACATTCGTGTTTTGTACAATAAAGCTGATATCGCGCTCTATGCAAATCACACTCCATCGTCATTTCAAATATAAAAGGAGGTAAATCTCGATAGTGTTCAATAGCAATAACCGAATGCTCCCTCGTCGCCTTGGCAATTCCATGATGTTTTAGGCAATTGGAACAGTATGCTTCGTCACAATCTGGGCACCATTTTACCGCTTCTTGAGTGATTGATTGACCTTCACAAACAGCACATACAGTTATTGGTGATGTAGCCATCATCAAAACGTCAAAACTGAAATAAAAGATATATATATGTTTAATTGTGGATAAAGGAATAAAGAAATGGTGAACCTAGAAAAAAACAACCATATATCCTCTTGCAGTCGACCTATTTTATTTGCTCTGTCGCGCCAAATTTCTAGTAACGTGAAATTGATACTATTGAAAATGTCGTTTTTAGGCCACTCTGTTGACGTTCCCGCCTCATGAAAGTGCACATGTTAACTTTGTTGTGACGGAATACTTCACATGTTGAAAGAAGAAAGAGGTTTATAAGAGCGATTTGCAAAACTAAATGAAATTATTTTATCCATTCAAAATTATTTGTATATCAAAGGTAAATTAATCGTCTAGAGGCTAAAGATACCAAAGGTAAAAAACGAATAGACTTTGGTCCTGGTTCATTGCTTGATAACGCTGATCGACGAAGTACAGGATTGGGTCAGGTGGCCAGCCTAGAAAACGAACTGATAATGACATGGCAAAGAACGAAAAACGACAAAAAAGACAAATAACAATTTCCAAAACACAATTAACATGCCATAGTCATAGGGACATGTCGACAGATTAGCTATATAGCTAGTTATTATTAACGTGCAATAAAAAAATATCCCCAGTAAATCTCTCTGATAGATTATACTTTTTTATTTCCAGATTTCCGGAACACAGATGGAGCCTTTTCATGCTTTCGTATTGAGTGTCGATAATCAATTGCAAATATAAAACCTATCAATTGAGCAATGTCTTTTTACAAATTCAAACTCTGATAATCCTGATTCGTTGGTAGTGTTCATATACAATAATTCGTACAGTTTAAAATATAAAATTTATTTGACGAGCTTTAGAAGCAGAGAGAAAAGCGAGGCTTGCCGCGCTTTTCTCCTATTTCGTAGTGAGGACAAATACATTTTATACTTTCCTACACAGTGCGAATATTGTTTTATCCTGGAATTTAATATTGAATTTAAACGTATAGTTTTTTCCAATCCAAATCATTGAATTTGTTTTTGACATGACTAAAACGCGGACCGCTAATGAGGACCCCAAATTGAACAGTATTTGAACATAACCGTTCGCTCGCAACAGAAGCAAGATACCAGGAGACTATTGGATGAACAAGATTCCATAGTAAAATTAAATATATAAAGACAGTTGATATTCTTCCTTTTTGTTCTCTTATTATACTAGTTCAAGCTGCTTTTTATTATCATATATATATATATAGAATATATTTAGACCCCTCTAACAAGAAATTTGTTTTGCATGCACACGTATAAAAATTGCCGTTTTTATCCAACGCAATCACAGGTTTGAACGTCGTTTTCAATTTAGACTTGTTTATATTTTTTCGTTTGGGCTTGTATTATATTTGCCTTCGGGTTTATATGATCCGTTCATCCTATTTGACTCCTCAAAATTCAAGAGTCTATCCTAAATTGAGGTAAATTGTATGGCTTTCCAAATACCGTTTCGATTCCTAACATCACTGAAGAGACATTAATTGTCGAAATCCGGATATGGTGTACAAAAACCTTTGCACCTTTTGTTTGCGGTATACCATCTTTTCCGCAAGTTTATTGTTTTCTGTTTAGTACTAAATTTATAATTAAGATCCATTTATTTCATCGGTGATCCGTTTATTTGGCAATCGCCAATGGCAGTCAGCAGGGTTTAAGAACATTTGTTGTTCGACCTGTTAGTCAAATGCGTTTTGCTAAAATACACTTTTTCACTTTTTTGGTCTTTTGGAAACTGTTGTTTGTGCTGTATTTATACCCCTCTAACAAGAAATTTGTTTTGCATGCACACGTATACAAATTGCCGTTTTTATCCAACGCAATCATAGGTTTGAATGTTGTTTTCAATTTAGACTTGTTTATATTTTTTCGTTTGGGCTTGTATTATATTTGCCTTCGGGTTTATATGATCCGTTCATCCTATTTTGACTCCTCAAAATTCAAGAGTCTATCCTAAATTGAGGTAAATTGTATGGCTTTCCAAATACCGTTTCGATTCCTAACATCACTGAAGAGACATTAATTGTCGAAATCCGGATATGGTGTACAAAAACATTTGCACCTATTGTTTGCGGTATACCATCTTTTCCGCAAGTTTATTGTTTTCTGTTTAGTACTAAATTTATAATTAAGATCCATTTATTACATCGGTGATCCGTTTATTTGGCAATCGCCAATGGCAGTCAGCAGGGTTTAAGCACATTTGTTGTTCGACTTGTTAGTCAAATGCGTTTTGTTAAAATATACTTTTTCACTTTTTTGGTCTTTTGGAAAATGTTGTTTGTGCTGTATTTAGACCCCTCTAACAAGAAATTTGTTTTGCATGCACACGTATAAAAATTGCCGTTTTTATCCAACGCAATCATAGGTTTGAACGTTGTTTTCAATTTAGACTTGTTTATATTTTTTCGTTTGGGCTTGTATTATATTTGCCTTCGGGTTTATATGATCCGTTCATCCTATATATATAAAAGTCTTAATTGAAAACAACGTTCAAACCTATGATTGCGTTGGATAAAAACGGCAATTTTTATACGTGTGCATGCAAAACAAATTTCTTGTTAGAGGGGTCTAAATACAGCACAAACAACATTTTCCAAAAGACCAAAAAAAGTGAAAAAGTCTATTTTAACAAAACGCATTTGACTAACAGGTCGAACAACTGATGTTCTTAAACCCTGCTGACTGCCATTGGCGATATATATATATATATATATATATATATATATATATAGTGGTAAAATTACATTTCAATGTGTTATAGTAATTTCTGGTGAAACATAAAAAAGCATTGTATAAGTAATCACATTAAAGAATATACTGATGTATTAACGGGACTTACAAATGCATTGTAGTTGGTTTGAGTAATCTTTTTATCTATTATTCTATCCAGGCTGTAAAATATATCATTTGCTTGATAATATTTCATTTGCATTTAGTATGAATTTATCGTAAAAGACTGACATTTGGGATCATTGATTGGACATTTTGCTTGTAATTTGTATTTTGCTAATATTCCCGTTAATTTTTGTTGTCCATTCTGGAGTAACTCATTTATCGGAAATGAGTTTAACAGTTGAGTATGAATTAGCTGCTGTTGAACGTGATATACAATTGTTAACATTGTAAAAATAGCATTACTGTTTCATTTTTTTCCCTCTTGATTTTAAGTATGCATCACCAGCAAGGAAAATAAAGACTGACGATTGGAGAGAAGTACTAGTTATTGAAAACATGGTAAAGATAAGTGACACATACTTATCTGCTTTCTTGCACAAGGTATAAAAGAGAGGTGAAAGATACTAATGGGACATTCATAAGTAGAAAATAAACTGACAACGTCATGGATAAAAAAGAAAGACAAACAACAGACAAACAACAGTACACACTACACAACATAGAAAACTATAGACTCGGCAACACGAATCCTACCAAAAACTAGGGGTGGTCTCAGGTGCTCTGGAAGGGTGAACAGATCTTGTTCCATATGTGGCACCCGTCGTGTTTCTCATATAAGTACAAACCCGGTGATAAGTCTAAATCGGTAGGTCACATTCGGGGAAAAGGGGACGGGATTGTAGTTACGACAATTGGAACATATCCGTCGTCATCTGTGGAACAGATAGTACTATCGATCAACCAACTCGTGATAGCGTGGGTAAAATTTACGAAGGGATGATTTCATCCTCACCACTTGGAGCTCTTGGTTTAAAAGCTTCCTTGTGAGCAGCAACCATCTATCAAGGAAATCATGATATGAAATGCCAGCCCTGAAATATTGTATCAACTGGGAGCATGAAGGCGCTGCTGGAATGTTGCTACATAGCAATGGAAAGTTCACAATTGGGAAGCTGAAATGATCTCTTTTGTCGTAAAGTTTTGTCAACCGACCCTCATTGTCAATTTTAAGATGTAAGTCTAGATATGAGGCAGACATAACTGTATCTGTTGTATCCTTTATTTCAAGTTCGATGGGATAGATGCGTTCAACATAGTCACCAAATTTTGAATTATTTAGTGAGAGAACATCTTTATAACGGAAAGTGAAGTTAAAGGATACTACTAACTTCTTTTCTTTCTTCCTTAGAAGTTCCTGTATGAAGTCAGACTAATATGAAAAAAGTCGACAGGAAGAGGAACACAGTTGGGTCCCATGGGCATTCCAATTGTTTGTTGAAAAACACGTTCTCCAAACGTAACACATACGTTGTCAATCAACAAATCAAGTATCTTGATAATGTCGGTCTCAGAAAATTCTTTGTTTGAATCAGAGCGATTTTTTACAAAGTACGATTTATCCCTCCTAAGACAAGATACTTGTATCTACGTTGGCCATTCATTTTTATGAAACAAAGCAGGACCACCTTTTCAATTTGTCTTTTAGTTTGGAATGGGAATACTTGTGTATTCATTTATAGCATGGAAATAATGACTAAAAGGAAATCATTTGTCATACCAAAGTACCATGTGTTTTATACAACGAGGAACCTGATAAATTTAAACAACTCTTTTTATTTTTCCAATGGAACGAAGATCTCCGAGTTTTAATGGCTGGACAATGTAGACGACTACTATGAACTGACATATAATGTATAAACCCATCTTAGATGAAGTAAACATAAAAATTCAGAAAAGCGTCATATATATAAAGAAGCATTTTTATCTTGTACTTGTAGACCAATCATTTGAGTATTACAATTGATCAGAACTACGTGCTTGAGATCATTTTGATCCAGATGGAGAACAATGCAGGAGAGACGAAAAACAAAACTTAATCATGGATAATTAAAAACATGCTGATAAACAACTTTAATACCGAAATGATAAACGCCAAATGTTTCAACTCATCTTTGATTGGTGTAAGAACATGCTTAAGAGTCCTACACAAGTTGAAAATTTAGTAAGCCAGATAAATAAAATTGAGAATGGAAATGGGGAATGTGTCAAAGAGATAACAAACCGACCAAAAAGAGCAGAAAACAGCCCAAGGCCACCAATGGGTCTTCAACACAGCGAGAAAATCCCGCACCCGGAGGCGAGCTTCAGCTGGCTCCTTTAACAACAATGTGTATTAGTTCAGTGATAATGGACGTACCACTAAACTCTAGCCAATGTAGAATAAATAAACACACAGCAATACGCACAGTTAAAAAGAAGTCCGAGTCCGATGTCAGAATAGGAAACAGAAGAAACTAAGCAAAATGACAATGATACATCACTTAACAAAGAACAACTAGCAGTTACTGACATGCCAGCTCCAGACCTCAATTTAACTGATTGAAAGATTATGTCTTCATCATATGAAAATCATGTACAATCCCTCCCGTTAGGTGTTTAGTTTCATACCATCATAAATTATACGAGAAGGACATAACCCGTATCATGCCAATAACTGGTTTTAGAATAAATGTGTTTATTTCCGATGCAAAGACCCTATGAGTGAATCAATATTAATTCCAAAATATGCCATCTTTAATGACCTGACATATCGTAACTATATCCCTTCTGAATAAGTTTGCTTAAAGGTTTGGTTAGCTTTTGAGGTGAATGACGACATTTTTCTGCGTTGTATAGAATTTTACCATAAAAGATGGGATGTGAAATACCTGAACGTATAAGATGTCTGCATATTGATTTATATTTACGAATGATGTCGTTGTACCGATGATAAAATTTAGTAAATGTTTTGACTAGTTTGTGATATCGAAAACCCTGGTGTAATACTTTTTCAGTTATACAGAGAAACATACACGAGCGAATCGAACAAGTTGAGATATATAAAGACCATAAGATGTTGACAACGGAGCGTCACTATCTAAAAATGAAAAATCATCTCTTTTATCGTAAATTTTGGTACTAAGCGTCCCGTTAAAGATATAGATATCAAGATCGAGGAAAGGGCAGTGTTCATTGTTAGTATTAGCTTTATTTAAAGTTAGTTCATCAGGATAAATCTCTTTAGTGTACATACTGAAGTCAATTATTGAGATCCAATATATCATCCAAATATCTAAAAGTGTTATTAAATTTTTGTATCAGATGTTGTTTCGATGGGTCTTTGCTGATTTTAGTCATAAATTGTAACTCATAACAATACAGACACAGGTCCGCAATAAGTAGTGCACAGTGAGTCCCCATTGGAATTCCGATAATTTGACGATATACGGAATCTCCATAGCGAACAAAAATGTTATCTAATAAAAATTCAAGTGCAGTTATCGTATCAAAACAGGTCCAATTGACATAGTTCTTTTGTTTGTTATTACTAAATATAAATTACCTACAAGAGTTTAAACATATATATTAGCATTCTGTGTGAATGTTTCTTAAAGAGATTATGAGGCAAAGTGGTAAATAGGGTAGAAAAATAAAACTTTGAACAAATTGGAAATAACCAATATGAGCATGCAATTTATCAAGTACTTCCAATAAATTTTTGACACTCCAAAAGTAATTAATTCCACTTTTTTCAAAGGCCTTATTTGAACAATTTATACCAGGTTTTTGATTGTACCAAGTGTACTAGTAAGTAGAATAGACAGTTTAGTAGTGGAACATCGGCTTGAAGACGAAATAAATCTACTAGTATATTTGTAAGGTGTTTTGTGCAGCTTCGGAAGCCAGTTCATAGTTGGAACTTTCATTCTATTTGGTTCTGCTTGTAAAGATGTAGCTAAATGTTTATGTTTGTTACAGATGTCATTTTCAGAAAATTGAACCAGTTGGAATGTGGGTTAATTCGTGATTTCCTTTTGCAGAACCTCAATGTAAAATTTACGTCAAACAATAATGATATTACTGGCAGCCTTATCAGCCGGGACAAAAACAAATTCCTTGGCGAGTTCTTTTAGCTTATGTTTGATACGAGAAATAGGGCTATTATGGTTGTTGTTAGGAGTAAAATGTTCTTCAAAATGTTTAATACGAATATCAGCTATGTCCACTACTGAATTAAAAAAGAGAATCTAAGGATTTTGTCAGCTTTTTCTCGATTTATCCATTTCGTGCAGTAAGTACGGAGTGAGTTGTAGATGATGTTACGACACTCATTTTAATTAATAAATGACGGGGGACGATATTTAGCTCCTTTACTGAGGAATGATTGCAACTCTCGGTGTACTGTCACTGATATTAACATCTTTAAAAATTTCGCTGTAATTAAACACATATTTCCGGGTAGATTTTTTGTAAACATAACAAATAAGAGGGAGCTCAGTATTATCAAAATAGCCAGGAATTTGTTATGTTTAATACAAATATGTATTCATAATGTTGAGAGTATTCAATCTGAAGAATTAGCGATTATTCTCGAACGACTTTGGTACAAAACGTTCTCATTAGTGAATAGTTAAATGATGAGACAAAAAAGATGTTTAGAGTTTTTCTCATTTTGTTAAAAGAACAGGAACAGGAAATCAGATCAAGACAGATAAATAATGAAATTATTAAATCAAGAGTATTCAGTCGGGCTCAGCCTATTTGCTCTCGCCAAACCCTACACATATTCCCTAACACTGAGGATATTAAGCAACACAATACCAGAATTTTGAACAAAATGTATGCTTATATTAAAAACATCAGTGTTGTTTCCAAAATGCCTTCAATTGTGAAAAAAATTATGAAATCAAAACAGGAGAGGAGAATTAAGCAAAGCTGGCTTCTCTGTAAACCTGCACGTGTGATAGTAAAATATTGATGATTTTTTTACCTTGTTATTGGAACAAGAGCACAACTTGATTTATTGTGTTCTGGTAAAAGAGGGGCGAAAGATACCAAAGGGACATTCAAACTCATATGTCGAAAATAAAATGAACGTCATGGCTAAAAAAGAAAAAGACAAACAGACAAACAATAGTACACAAAACACAACATAGAAAACTAAAAACTGAGCAACACGAACCCCACCAAAACCTTGGGGTGATCTCAGGTGCTCCGGAAGGGTAAGCAGATCCTGCTTTACATGTGGCACCCGTCGTGTTGCTCATGTTATTACAAAGTTGGTAATAATTATGTCAAAACCTAAAGGTGGAGTAGTTTCTAATGATTGAACCGGTAGAATGAATAGCAATCTTCATTTACTAGAATTTCACACATCCTAACAACTACGCATCACAATGCACTTGCATAAAGTAATTAAACCTAACAAATTGGCTCACTCCGTTTGGATCAATATTTAAATTTTAAATATTTTAAACGCTCAACAAGCCTCGTGCTTTAATCTGAAAAAAAAATTGAGATCTCGAGTGGAGTATCATCGTATGTTACCCAACCCATTGCTTGAATTTTTCAACGTTAAGACGAAAAGACAATAAAAAGGGGAAAAAAAACTAATAAATCACTGAACGTAAATAATGGATGGTCCCAGATAGTTTTCACGTTCTGAACAAAGTATTGTTTGTTTTTTTCAAATGGATGTGGAGTTTAAATTAGTTTACTTAATCTTAAAACAGGATTTGTATTTGTAAACATAGTAAATATAAAGTGTCATTACAAATAGGAAATTAAGCTAACAATACATGTATAATTTGACAATGAAAATAAATTAATGTACAAACTATAGTAAAATAGTCTAAACCCATTAATTTTTAGACAGTTAATAGTTTGACCGAAGTAAGATGCTTTTTGTCAGCCCGCCATTATGTTTTTTCTACCATAGTAATTCTATAATCTATGTTTAGGTCTCTAAGAAAAAGTATGAATGGTAAATACATTTAGAAAACAAAGTTTGTAAACATGTCGAGACAATATATAGACCCGCACTGTTATCATTAGTTCCTATCTTGGTTTGTAAGGTGAATGATGATTATCTAAAGTCGAAATTTGAAAATAAAACTTACCTTATCCTCATAAGATTTGGTACACTGATTATGTCACGTTTGTACGTTGAGATAACAAGGATGTATACTTCGAGGAAAATATCAAAATATAAAAAAAATATGGAATATAGATTTGCATTCTTGAACTTTGAATTGTTTTAGTGCTGTTTTTATGAGTACTAACAGTTAAGAGATTTCTGCTTACCGGTTACCTTGATTGAGAATCATCATTGAAATAACATAAAGAAAAGTCGTTTGAAATATCATTGTAAGCTATATACTTTGAGACCGACCTTCATTGTGGAAAGTATTACAATGATAACATTCAATACATTAACATTATGTTTAAAATAATTGAATATGTAATAAGGGGACTATTTAATGAATAATTTTAAAGCATATTATAGAATTAAAAAACGATCATAATGGAACAAATCTTTGCTTATCAAACCAAACATATCTTGTACTTTGAGACTACCCTTGAAGATAATAAAAAAGTGTCCCAGTACCTCGTCTAATTATCGTAAGAAATGATCAGCTTATGGTAAATAATGTTTGGAAATATTTCTGAATCGTTTAACGGCAGCCAAAAATACAAAAACACCCAAACATTTGAAAACTAGAAATGTATAAATACGTACAAATCTTTAAAAGAGCTACGAATGACAACAGATGAAGCAAATGAAGCAGCAAGTCAGTTACAAAATAAAAATTGTCGTGAGTACCAAAATACAGTTGAGTCTGCCTCATATCTTTAATTACATCTAGAAATTAACAATGAGGTTGGGTTGTGAACCAAACTTTGAGCTTCCCTATTATTTATGTTCAATTTCTATGTAGCAACATTCCTAAGCGCCTGCATATGTTGTATACATTATACTTGAGGTGAATATCTGATTTAATCAAGCAATTTGATTGGTTGCCTTGACAGGGTATATGAGCCCATATACCCTGCAAACAAAAAACGAAGATCAAAATGGTATATTTTTGAAATGTTGAAATACGGACACTACAGTATAATATAATTGTTACTCGGGCTTCACATATGATATTGGCTCACATGTTTTTATCAAGAGTGTCCATCTTAACTTTATTGTTATCGCCAAGCCTAACTCCAATTGTAAAAAAAAAAAAGAAACAAAACCAGGAAGAGAGGCGATTAAAACAAATATGGTATCTGTCAACCTGCATGTGTCATGTTAAAAACATTGAAGAATCTGTTGGCCTTATGATTGAAGCATGAGGACACAACTTCCTGATGTATTGTATTCTATTAATGATTATGTCAATGCTTTAGTTTCTAATGAATTAACTTGTAGAAAAAATAGCAAGCTTCAATTACTAGCCCATCACATATTCTAACAACTACGCATCACAACGCACTTGGGTGAACAAGAATTGACCAGAAAGCAACATAAAATTTGAAGAATAATGCACTACAGCATTCTGAAATGAAAATGAAATTGGTCTAAGACAAACAAAATTGAGTTCATACTAACGTAATATAGATATTAAACTTCACATAAACAGGTTACTACGTTTTGATACAACATCACTAATTACTACATTCAACTTTCCCCTTGACAATTCGATTTATGGTATTCTAAACTCGGAAGATATTTTTTTTAATATTTCAAACGCTCGACAAACATCGTGCTTTACATTTGAAAAATTAAATCTCGAGTTTAGTATTATCGTATGACATCCAACCCATTCCTAGAACATTTTTTAACTTTAAGACACACAGACATTAGAAGGTTAAAAAAACTACTGAATGTAAAGATAAATCACTGAACGTAAATAACAGGCGCCTAAAAAAGACAGTTTCCACATTTTAAACAAAGATTTTTTTTTTAATTGGATGTGAAGAATGAGTCAGTTTATTTAATCTTACAACAAGATTTATATTCGTAAACAATGTAAATATAGTATATATAAAGTGTCATAACAAATAGGAAATAAAGCGGAATGTAATTTCCTTCAAACATGCATAATTTGAATAAAATGAAAAAGAATTCAATTAATGTACAAACTATAGTAGACCAATGACAATTTTGATAACTGACAGTAAATAGTTTGACCGAAGTAAGATGTATTTTGTCACCCGCCATTATGTTTCTCTGACCATAGTAATTTTATAATCTTCTCTGAGGTCGCTCGCCTTGAATGGTAAAAAAATGTCTGAACGACATTGAGAGAACACGTCGAGACAATATATACCCCGCACTGTTATTACTAGTTCATAGCTTAGTTTGTAAGGTGGGAGATGATCTAAAGTTCGAATTTCAATTTTAAAATAAAACTTACCCTTTATTCATAAGATTTTGTACACTGATTATGTCACGTTTATACGTTGAGATAACAAGGTTGTTTACTTCAAGGAAAATTTCAAAATATAAAAATGTATGGGATATAGATTTGCATTCTTGAACGTTGACTTGTTGTTGAATGCTGTTTTATTCATGCTAACAATTTACAGATTTCTACTTTTCTTATTTGAGAATCAACATTAAAATTTTAAAAAAGAAAGTCGCTAGAGATAGGTTATTTACTGTGAGATCGACCCTCATTGTGGAGCGTTTCAATATAAAAACACTCAATACATTAACATTGAGTTTAAAATAATTGAATATGAAGAAAGAGAATTTTTGACTAAACAATTTTAAAGCATCATCCATACTTTATATATATTACTGTGAAATCGACCCTCATTGTGGAACGTTTCACTACGAAAACATTCAATACATTAACATTGAGTTTAAAGTAATTGTATATGAAGAAATGGGATTTTTGACTAAACAATTTTAAAGCATAATCCACAATTTATATAAAAAATATTTGTGTTTTTCATTATAAACATATCCTTGATTGATTGATTGATTGATTGGTGTTTAACGCCACTTTCAACACGATTGTGCTATTTCGTGGCGGTCAGTTTTTATTGGTGGAGGAAGTTGGAGTGCCCGGAGTGAACCACCGACCTTCGGTAGGAAAACTGACAATCCTAGTCAATTAAGATTGGAGTAGAGTGCACCTGCCCCGTGCGGGATTCGAACTCACAACCTCAGTGTTGACTGGCTAGTGATACATTTCGACTACTTAGTCTACTCGGCCACCGAGGCCTCTAGACTACCCTTGAAGGAAAAATAAATAATGTTAATAACGACAAGCTCATGTTTGAACAATTGTGTTTTGGGCTAGCATTATTGTGTTGATCCCAGAAAGGGTAACATAGATCACATTAGTGTATCATTACCTCGTGTAGTTACCGCAATAAATAATCTTCTTCTTCTTCTCCCATGTAACCGAATTCAATCATGAATATATCGTCACGCAAAAACTTTGCACAGTTCTCCAAAATACAATTAAAACTATATACAGCCAGTGTTGACTACTTCCTTTCCGAATCTGCTTTCAGAAAAGCTATGGATCTCTCTAGTGTATTTTCCTTGGTTTTTGACGCTATCTCAATATAGTTACCTTATCATTTTTTATACACAGCCCGGTGTTTGGTCTGTGAAGTCGTTTTGGAAAAATCTCGTTGCTCTTTTATGCAATGTTCCACCGATTTGATCTGTTTTGGCATGATGGATCTCAAAATCAACAAGCATATTCTACTATGGGTCTTACAATGGCTACATACCTGCAGCTTTTACCGGTTTAGTGCAATCTGTCAGGTTTCGTCGGCTAAATTATGCCTTGGGATACAACAGAGATTACAGTAATTTCCGAAGAGACAGCTCCTCATTGTAAAACACTCGAAGAAAGAATGGATCCATTTGTTAGTTTTAGGGTTGACAGCATATTATTCTAGCTTGTGTAAAAGGCGATGATGTGGTACTTTGTCGAATGCCTTTCCAAAGTCAAGTAGGATGATGTCGACTTGGGAGTCTTTATCAATGTTTATAGAAACTATGTTTGGAAATATTCCTGTATCATTAAACGGTAGCCAAAAATACGGTAACGCCCAAAACTTTGAAAGCCAGGGATGTAGTGAAAACGTAGAAATCTTAAGAGCTACGAATGACATCAGATGAAGCAAATGCAAGCAGGTAAGTTACAAAATATTTACAATTAAGTATGCCTCACATCTTGACTTATATCTAATTTACAATGAGGTTCGTTTGAGAACAAAACTTTTAGCTTCCTCTTTGTTAAATTTCCATTTCTATATGTCGCAACATTCCCTAGCGCCTGCATATGGAGTATATATCTCCCAGTTGATACGATATTCCAGAGCTTGCATTTCCTATCATGATTTGTTTGAATTGCTTGATAGATGGTTGCTGCTTGCCCTTCGAAAGTTTTACGGACGCCATCGCGACATGGTTGACCAATATGGAATATCTGTGTCACAGACGACAACAAATTTGTTCCAGTTGTCGTTACAATATCGTCCTCTTTTTTTTCGATTGTGACACCAGCGAATTAAACTTGTCATCGAATTTGTACTTTACATGAGCAGCCCGACGGGGGAAAACTAGTTGACTCGGACCTCCCGGACCACCATAGATAACCCCCGGCTTTTGGTGGGGTTCGTGTTACTCGGTTTTTAGTTGTCTATGTGGAGTTTTGTGAACTTGTTTATCTTTTCGTAGTCTTTCATTTTTGGCCATGGCGTTGTCAGATTCACTTCGACGTGTGAGTTTTGAATGCTCCCTTAGTATCTTCCACCTCTTTTATACATAACTTCTTAACACATCACACTTGCCATCTGTATCGTCATTTACATTTTATTTTTTGTTCCTCATCGCAGAAATAATTTAAAATATTTGTTATAAGAGTATAACTTACAACCGATTATGAGTTTTAAACACGTTCTGATGTTTGAATAGTTCTCCATTTTCCCGTTTAGGTCGGTTTGATAGTAAAGTCAGTGTGGAATGAAGAAGTGGAAGTATTTAAGCAATATGTAGCGAACTAACCATTTCTACATATATTGGTTATCATAAATTAATATAACTAGTCGCTCACCTAAGTCTTTGTGCATATTTAACAATGGACTCTCTCCAATATTGTAGACAAGAATAGAATTCATGACAATATCTCTTTTTTGTTGATCTTGTATTGCTGATCATTTTTCTGTGTAGTTTCTCTCTATTTTCTTTAGTTTTTGCTCAAAACGAATAAGAGGATAAGAGGATCTTGCCTTGCTGAAGATTTTTGTTATTTAAAATTTCTATTTATCTATTACAATTTTTATCATATAAAGCAAAATGCAAAAAATGGTAAAAGTAGTCATTAAAGGGCAATAACTCCAATAAAGACTCGTCGGAAAATTTCCTCCATATTGTTTTAAATGTAGAAATTGTCTTGCTGATCATTTTTGCTTATTTAAGTTTCTATTTATCTACTATAAATTTTAAGATAATAGGCAAAAACAATTGGTAAAAATCGTCATCAAGGGGCAATAACTCTAATAAGGAGTCGACTGACAATTTCGGCCATTCTAACTTATTCCTAGATCTTATTTTGCTGATCATTTTTGCGACTTAAACTTTTTTTCTATTTGTTATAGTTTTCAAGATAATAGGCACATTTTTTTTTAAAATGGTAAAAATTTTGTCATTTAAGGGCAATAACTCCTATAAGAAGTCGCCTGACAGTTTTGACGTCAAGAAAAACATTCTGAATATTTTTGCCATGTCAGATTTTCTTTATTCATAATGGTTTTCAAAATAATAGAAAAATCTTGCATTTTATCCAAATGTTCTATTTTAGCCATATCAGCCATTTTGGTTGGCAGGTGGGGTCATCGGACAATTCTTTTTAAATTTAAAGGCCCTAATGATGATTGTGGCCTAGTTTGGTTTAATTTGGTCTACTAGTTTCAGAGGAGAATATTTTTGTAAAAGCTAACGAACGACGACGACGGACGGTGGACGCCAAGTGATGAGTAAAGCTCACTTGGCCCTTTGGACAAGGTGAGCTAAAAATAAGAAGATTTGGTATGATTGCCAATGAAACAACTCTCGACCAGAAACCAAATGACATAGAAATTCACAACTATATGTCACCATATGGCCTTCAACAACGAGCAAAACCCATACCACAAAATAAGCTATAAGAGGCCCCGAAATGGCAAATGTAAAACGATTCAAACGAGAAAATTATCGGCCTAATTTGTGTACAAAGCAATAAACGTAAAACAAATATGATATACAGCAAAAAACCACAACTATTTAATTTATTCTTGACTTGGGACAGGCACATTCATAATGTGGCGGGGTTAAACATGTTTGCTGGAGCCAAACTCTCCCCTTAACCTTGACAGCGGTGCAACATTACAACATATGAACAAATTATAAATATCAGTTGAAAAGGGCCCAACTCATGACATCAATTCAAAGCACACAAAAAATACTTAACAAAAACACAAAATACACAAAGTACAGATCTTAGAGTACCCGCAGTTACTGAAAGCTAGCTCAAAGCCAATAACTAATAAAAAAAATCATGCATCTTAGACTAAATTGTGTTTAGATTGTTTGTGCCATGTCAAATGACTATTTACCACTTGTCTTCGTGTAAAAACATTCATACTGTAACACGTACATATAACTGTCTTAAGTACAAAAGAAAACATGTTGAAGATCCCCATCGTATTAGAGACAAAAAGAGAAATGAATTATACCAATAATGTGGCCGAAGAGGAGCAAATAACTTTTAATAAGTATTGCACATTTTAACATAGGAGACTGGTAAAAGTCCATTGAATTGCAAAACAATAACAAATCAATATTATCGATAAGTACAGGTGTGCAATAATTCAAGGCATTAATGATGTTATCATTAAGAAATAACATCGTGTACAACAATAAATGTGTAGTGATGGTAACCGCAAAAACTCAACAAAGATACCAGGCTTATAATTTGGTATGCTAGACGCGCGTTTCGTCTACATAAGACTCACCAGTGACGCTCGAAACAAAATTTGATTGTACAAATTGAGTAGCATTACAACCAAAACGTTCTGCCAAATACAGCTAAGGCAATCTATGTCCGGGTAGAAAAACTAAAGTGTTTTGAACAATTCAACACATGTTTAAAAACAGTACATTTACAGAAAATTAACACATCAATGGTAGTTGTAAAACTTGTGAAAGAAAAATGACACTATTATGAAGTGTCGAATTTAGTCATTCTTCCTCATAATCCGGCAGAAGGAGTTTTTGTTGTTAGAAGAACACCCTGCCAATGAAGTCTTTTTAATGTGTAAATATATACGCATATAACGTATCAATTGATACCCATTCTCTGAAGAAGATGCATATGATGTGTTACTTCAGCCAAATGGGAAGTTGACAACGGGAAACCTAAAACCGTCACGTTTTTGATAGATCCTAGTTTGAAACTGTCTGTCTTATATATGTCGGTCTCGATATGAATCATATATCCTAGTTTCTTAGTAAAAAACTACAAAATGTATCTTGAATGTCAGATCCCGGGGATATGTATGTATGAGTTTCAAACACCTGCTGAAATGTAGGCAATTGAGGGACAGAACATTATCAATATATCTGGAAATTAGACGGAAGAATTTGTTAACTTTTTTATTTTTGAGAAGGTTTGATTCGTATAAATACAAAAACAAGTCGGCCAAAGGTGTTCAAAAATAGTTCCCATTGGAATACCAACTGTTTGTTGAAATATCAGTCCATCAAACCAGACAATTACGTTTTCGATCTTTTTTGTGATATCTTTTGTGTATTTGCTGTTTTAATCTGTAAAATGCTTCTCTATGTGACCACATTTCTGTCACTTATCAAGTATATCCTCATTGTTAATTTCTTATCCTAAATATGCATGAAATATTTGTCATTGAACGTTATACGCAAGCAACAATCAATCAATCAGAAAGAGTTCAATACAACGTACAAAAGGAAACTTAAAATCGGTCTAAAACGAACATAGTTATTATCATGACAAATGGAATAAATTTGAGCTTGACGAATAAAGTTCATTTAAGTCCTCTAGTATTAGCGATTATTACATAATTCGTCAGTTTACAAATTAAAAACAAATGTATAAGCCTGCAATTTATCGGCTTCAAGTATTTACACGTACGCAAGTATCAAACGAAAAAAAGGAGTGAACTAAAAAGCCCGTAAGCCATTCAAAGTATACAATCTATTTAATATAGTACTCTTAAATATTTTATAAACTGATAAGATAAAATCAAAATATAGCACTGCATTATACAACAAATAATCAACTAGCTACTTTGCAAACTGTGCTTTCTGGGATTGGTAGTTTACCAGCAGCGGTACAAATCCAGCAGTAGTAATTTAAACGATGTAGTCAATAGAATGACATTTGCTATAACTAACTTCAGTTATGGGAAATTTGTACAATGAAATGCACACGACGCCTTTCATACAACAAAACAACTATCAACGTTTTCTACGCGTGAGAATAGTTTTCTAAAAAGTCAGTAAAAAAAAATGCCTTTTATCTATATATCAAATTGAGAATGGAAATGGGGAATGTGTCAAAGAGACAACAACCCGACCATAGAACAGACAACAGCAGAAGGTCACCAACAGGTCTTCAATGCAGCGAGAAATTCCCGCACCCGGAGGCGTCCTTCAGCTGGCCCCTAAACAAATATATATACTAGTTCAGTGATAATGAACGCCATATTAAACTCCAAATTGAACACAAGAAACTAAAATTAAAAATAATACAAGACTAACAAAGGCTAGAGGCTCCTGACTTGGGACAGGCGCAAAAATGCGGCGGGGTTAAACATGTTTATGAGATCTCAACCCTCCCCCTATACCTCTAGCCAATGTAGAAAAGTAAACGCATAACAATACGCACATTAAAATTCAGTTCAAGAGAAGTCCGAGTCTGATGTACATTTTGAGTAATTTATGACTGGATGAACATTTCTATAATTCATTGTAGTATTTAGCTAAGAAAAAAGATGATCTTGACTTTTGTTTTTTGTCATTGTAAAGCAGGATATTGTTATATTACTCATATGTCTATAAATCTGTATTGCTGTGCGGGATATATAAATACTCAGCGACGTTCGGGCAGAATGGAGACGTTTAATCCGATTGCACGTAAATGTACCATTCGTAACATTTCTCTGATTGGTACGTAGGTGGCCTGTTGCATGGTAATATTTTTTGTCCCCGTCAAACGTATCTTCGTTGTTAATTTCTCGTACTGAATGTGCATATATTTGGTTTCGCATAGTCTTCTATATAAATTTGTTTTGCTGAAAAGGAGGCATTATCTTAATACCAAAACCACCCAAAATGGTTAATGCATGTGGGAGGTGCATCCTGTTTAATTTTAGAGTGAGTTGTGCAGATTGACGAACAGTCACTGTACATAGTCAGTATACGATATGGATACAAAACATATTGAAATTAATTATGTTTGCCAAATTTTAACTAGTGTAGCGCTGATGTACCTTATTTAACTAGAAGTATAAGGAATTATAACTATAACACATAATATGTGTCCAAATGACACCATATCCCGTTCACACTACCACATTTCCATGCACTTCGAACCGCGAAATCTGGATCAAAATTCTAATTTAACACATCAGAATAAACCTTTTCGTCATTTGGTCTCTGTTGGATCGTTGTCTCATTGGCAATCATACCACATCTCCTAATTTTCACATGTGTAAAAAGGAACAAGTTTCGTGGTTAACTACCGGGGGAAAAAAACACTTCGTCCTTACACGGAACACTCGCATGCACAGACCTGAACAAGTATTACCATTTAAGTATGTTAGGCGGTGCATAACATGTGTAACTCATGATAGAAGTTTTTGAAATACTTATTCTGTTTAAATGCTCAGCAGGTATACCAAGAAAGTGTTAGTAAATATCAACTTGTATTTATGGTTTGTTTCACATAGTCTTCATCTTGCGACTTTTCTGTCATTTCTAAATAATCCTCTTTATCACTATTTAATGAATTATTGTCTTGGCCACTCTCAGAATTATCATAAGTATCTATTGTTGGTGTGATATAGTCTTCATCTTGCCGCGTTTCTTTCATATCGAAATAATCCTCTTTATCACTATTTAATGAATTATTGTCTTGGCCACCCTCAGAATTGTCATTAGTATCTATTGTTGGTGTGATATAGTCTTCATCTTGCCGATTTTCTTTCATATCGAAATAGTCCTCTTTATCACTATTTTTTGAATTATTGCCTTGTCCCCCCACAGAATTGTCATAAAGTTCACCTTGATCACTGTTTTCAGTAGTATTACCGCCTAATGCCGTCACAGCATCATCGTAGTCGTCATCTGTGTTCTCTGTACTTTCAGAATTCAGATGATACTTCTCTCTATTCATAACAGGTATTTTTGGAATGTCTAGGTGTACCTGGTGTTCCTCTGTAAATGGGGCAACACAAAGTTTAACTGGTAAAGTATTACTTATACTACCCTTCTGCGTTGGATCTGATTCGTATTGATTATCGGGTGCACGAATTGACTCTACTAGAACATTAATTGGTTCTAAATAGTCATCATCGGGCTCATTCATATAAATATGATCTTTCTTTATCTCAGTATGTTCCATTTTAGCATTATTATCCATTTCATTTGCCTGATTTTCTTCCTCTGGTACATCATAGTCTTTTTGTGATGTTTCATCATCATTTGGATAATCCGGTGGTACATGAATATAATCACTAGGGTCATTATTAGTTTCCCTAACTGGACTTGCTTCCAATATGTCTGTATAGTCTGTTGATGCTACGCGATTGTTATCAGTTTCTGTTGGCACGTGCTCGTTTTTCCAAACCTCGTCATTTTTTAACATGATAGGATATATAGGCTGTGTTGGCACGTGCTCGTTTCTCCAAACCTCGTGATTTTTTAACATGATAGGATCTGGTGTAGGCTGTATTGAAAATTTTCTGTCGTATGATTCGGCTATCGACATAATTGATCCATTACTTATATTTTGGTCACAAGGTATGGCTGGAAGTTGTCTGCTGTTGATATTGTTTATAAATGATGCAGATGGTAGTTCTGGAATGTTTATCCTACCTCGCCTTCTACAATTAAACCTCAAATTTAAGTTAAAAACGAGTAGTTATATTCAGAGTAAAGTAGCCATTTACATTCATTAATGTTTTGATTTGCATGTGCCAATATTTAATTTGTTGTCGTTTTATGTCGTATAGTTGATAATTCTTGTATTCTTATAAAGAATAGTATCTTATATTTCATGTAGATTTCTTTGTAAATTAAATGCAAACATTTACGAATATTTTTACTGGTCTTCCTTAATAAATAGATATATATAGTTGAGCATTCCCGTTTAGATAAAAAAATATTGCATCTTAATCGATATTGCATGCTATACTTTCTTATTTTTTTGGTATGCACTATGGAGTTTCCGAGTAAAGCAATACTTGCACGCAATCAAACGATATACTTGTACTGGGACAATATCCCTCGTAATTGAGCCTGTTTTTAAAATATGATAGGTTTTGATTGGTTGATAATGTTCTTTCATCTAATAATTTATCGCTGCCGGAGTAAATGGACAAGAATATGTCTTTTTATCCTCTCTCCCATGTTATTTGCTAAAACATATATACCTATTTTACCCTTCATGTAGACACTTGATCCAAATACAGCTGTAAATGGTAATTCTTGATAGCGAAAGAATATAATCGTGTAATTTTACCATTGGGAGTGATTCCTGATAATATTTGATGCGAGTAAACATATAAAGCATATTAAGGAGTGGCATTTGCAAAAAATACCAGGCTCGGGAAGGGATTTCATTCTCTCGAATGGATTTTTTTCTCAAGTTCTCCTTCTGAATATGATATACCTTGTCAATATTAGTGCAATAACCCTTTATACCCTTAAAAAGTTCGCCTTCATTCGTGTACAGCTAGTTACGCAAATGTAGGTTGGATATTTCATATTCGAAAAACCTTTTGTTATCTTACTTCACTGTGCTTATATAATCCTTTTTGGATGTCGGTAATTCTCATACCACGGCTTTGTAATGTTTGAGCAGAAGATATCAGTAATGTCACAATGTTTGAGCAGAACTTATCAAACACTTAAGAAAATACAAACAAGCATAAAAAATAACAGATAACACTAACGGAACGATTTTACAGCACCAGATTCTCATTTCGATATTAAATGCCCCCGGTTTCAATGATGCTCGAGGTATAAATATTTAAAAATTCAAAACATATTACAAACGTTGAAGAGCTAATAAAACCAAAGACAAAAAGTATAGCCAAAATCTGTCCAAGAATCAGAGCTATATAAATAAGAAGATGTGTAATGAGTGCCAATGAGACAACTCTCCATCCAAGTCACAATGTATAAAAAGTATGCATGAGGGAAGTGAGTTTCTTAATTCATTATGATTGCCAAAATTTCATAACAGCAAATTCATTGAAATAATATCCATATTTTTTTTCAAGGCAGTAGCGAAGTACCGGTAATTGTGTTGGTGACAGGAAGGTAAACAAAATGAGTACAATAAACATATAAAAGGCTTGTGGCGAATAGATATCGTAAAAAATAAAGTTGCTCGACAGAAAGTGAAGCTTTTTTTACTTGTTTAACGAGCTCACTTTAAACAAGGTGATCTATACTTATATACCCGGTCCGAAGAAGTAGGTGTGTACCGGTTCACTTATTTACATGTACGTGTATTTCCTGAAATTTCTTTGTATTCTTTTTCTCAGGAACTACAATTCAGGGCTTCCTGAAATATGGTAGCAATCTTCACGTGAACATGGTAAATATATAGTGTGATGAGTTTTGTTTTCTCTACCATCGCTAATCAACTTCCTGTTTACACATATACTTATATTCTTTATGTGCCTGTCCCAAGTCTGGAGCCTGTAGTTCAATGGTTGTCGTTGGTTCATGTCGGTCATATTTGTTTTTCGTAAATTGTTTTGTTATAAATTTGGCCGTTAGTTTTCTAAATTGAATTGTTTCATTTTCTTTATGTCGGAGATGAGACTACTATAACATATGTGTTATAGTAGTCTCAGGTCGGAGCCTTTTATAGCCGACTATACGGTACGGTTGCCTATAATTGCTTACATCCACTTCATTTGAACTTTGGTGGATAGTTGTCTCATAAGCAATCATACCTAATCTCCTTAATTTTATATTTATAGTGGGGTATCCTTGATGAGCAATAGCTCGCTCAAAGTTTATCTTGTTTACTTACCTTTTTACAATACATAAAATGGAAATAATAATAGCCAATAAGACTACCCCTCCACAAGCTCCACCAACTATGTACCATAGTTCTACAAAAATATACCAGTGTTGAGTAGCACTCCATGACCTTACAAATACGTCGTATCTAATGATAATTCACAATGTTTTACGAATAAAAGTTTCGACATATACATACACTTGTTCAAACTTAAGTTACTCTTATTTCAATAGTCTTTGTCAAACATTTTGCTTTGATTGGTCTATGAGAGGATGACATTGACCTTTTTTTCAAAAAAGCAACTAGATGTAACTGTGTTAACGGACTAAAACTAATGTCTCCCTATCATCTCTAGAAGGAACTCCATAAAAGGAAATGTCTAACAAACGAATTCTATAACTGTCATTGTCATTCAAAATAAGAATAAACATATAGTTAATGGGTTTTGGTTTTTACTGTTTTTAATAATTATTAATGACATGAGAGGATGGGTCACACACCTCTTCTCAAACCCTCACTACAGACAAAATATATGGTGCTGTTTTTCAAAAGATCTTTGCAATATAGAATATATATGGTTTACTGTAGAAATCTGACCAGTTATATATTTAAAATAAAAAAGATATACGGGGCGGGGAGTGCCTTCAGAGAAAGATATCTATGTGTATTGTTAAGGCCTTATGATAACAATGAAGAATATAATATGGTTAAAGGGTTGGGAAACGAACTGTTTTAAAAATATTTAACCATTAATGGTGTACAGGTGGCGGGGCATGTCCCCTTAGGAAAAAAATATGCTACACTAAAATGGTCTTATCGAGGCAATTGAGACAATATATGGTTTAGGGTTGAAGATCTGAACTATTTTTGAAATTTTCAACTATTTTGTATGTAAGAGGCGGGCAGAACCTCTAGGATAAACCAACTTTCACTGAATAAGTCTTGCCATAGCAAAGGCAAAATACAATATATATGGTTTTGTGGTGATCATACAAATATCAATTATTTGATCTTGACGATCACAAGTCAAGTTCAGATGTTCTTTTTCATGGTATGCGATGATGCATCGTCTAAATGTGCTGCATTCATGTGCCAAATATCAAAAGTTTATATATATAAGGATAAAAAAGGGTACATTTAATATTCCTTATATTAAAATGTCCCAAAAAATCAAGTATTTTGAGCTTGAATGCAAAGGTCAAGGTCACATGAAAGTCACGATTATAAGAGACAATGACTTATGGTTACTACTTTCATGTCATATACTATAAGCAAGTGTCAAAAGCTAAGAAAAACCCGATTTAGCAAAGACAAGTTTGTATACCGAGTTATCAATATCCAGACAAGCAACATAAACTCACGGAACAATAAGACGTTGTTTTCTTACTTTGTGCAATTCTACTGAATTTTCATCGAAAAAAAAAAACATTTATATATATATATATTGTTTACAATACTGGATTTTGCATAGATATTTTATCATAAAAAGGCGGGAAAATGTTTTTGGTAATATATCGTTATTATTTGTCCTTCAGGAGATGATAATAGCCAATTGTTGTTCTAAATCATATTCTTTTCACCTGTAGCTCTGTTGGTATACGTTTACTTACCATTAGATGGACCTGGTGTTTCCCTTGTTGGTGCCACAGTCGTTGGTTGTTTTGTGGTAGTTGTAGAATGTTTTGGTGCCGGACAATCTGCTCAGAAGAGAAGTTGACATAGATGGATATTGCTGCCATTAACATAGATATCATATAAAGAGGATTATTATGTCTTGCAATATCCGCATACTTAAACTTAAATAACTACATGTAGTAATTGTCAAACCACAAATAGGTAAAGTGAACCAACACCCTAAGGTAGTATACGTGTAAAGTTGGGGTAGATACCTAAGTGTTATTCGATAGTTGTCAAACCAGTTCAATCGTCCTTACTATAAATGAAAAACTTTAAAAATAAACAAAAGAAACTCAGATTAAAGAACAGATTTGGTCTATGTGATTTAGTTTTTACCAATCTAATAAAAATATAGATTTCTGATTTCGTTATGCTCATCGACTCGAGTTACGATAGATCTGAATTTCAATCAGATTGAGTTTTTACAGGACTTTCGTTGGATGGATCCTTTAACATTTTCAAATAATGAATACCGCCAGTCATCCAATATGACAGGATATGCGGAATGTAGTTTTTACAAATTACTCAAACCAGAAGTGAATATATGGGGCCCTTTATAGCTTTCTGTTCGGTGTGAGCCAAGGCTCCGTGTTGAAGGCCGTACTTTGACCTATAATGGTTTACTTTTACAATTTGTGACTTGGATGGAGAATTGTCTCATTGACACTCATACCACATCTTCTTATATCTATATAAAATAAAACGAGACATATATTTATTACTTTTGTGGCGACGGCGGTGGAATCGTTGTTAGTAATTATCAAATAATCACGTTAACCCACGATACCAAAATGTCTATAGAGGTAGTCTTTGTTTCCAATTGAAAATCGGGATTATATACAGGACTCATGTAGTGGGTTATTTCTACGAATAAAAATTATTACAGTCTTTGTTTTCCCTACAGCAATTTTAAAAAAAGAGACAATTACATTTGATACGTATACTACATACCTCCGTTATTGCTGCATCCATTTCCTAGGTTAAGTGTTATATTATCCAGGGCAATTATACTGAATGCATTTGCCCCTGTTTGGGCTTGGAAGAATATCTGAGAATAAACGTAAAACGACAATGAAGTTAAAAATGACAAACCTACTCACGTTGGACATGATAAGAAATGATGAACAGCCGATGGGAACTAGCTATCTTCCTTTTATTTGGAAACAACTGTTGATCAATATTTTTGGCTAAACTTTATAAATACCAAGGAAACAGAACGTGATAGATATTTTCAAGAATAACAGAATGAATTTAGGCAACATATCTAAACATATGTAAACAATCCAAATTGATGTGAAATATGCACTGAATTATATTCACATCAATTTGCTACATGTGTAACTAAATTTCACGTTAAATTGATAATTGTAATTTTCTAAACCTTGATAATATAGAAGTTTTATGGTAACTTCATCATTTCAAAGTATCCTGTTTATTTTCTGTTATTGAAATAATTTTTCCTTAGTGGTCGTGTTTCATTGGATGCCATATTTCTAAGATTTCATTATTGAACAATTTTAAATGGTATAATATCCATTCTTTTAGATAGTATTCTTTTAAATTATGAAATGAGATGTAAAACAATTTTAGATTAGAGACAATTTGGAACAGTTAACATCAATACATGGAATGTCCGCTATTGTGCACGTATCTGTATTGAAGAAGATGTCTCATAAAGATTCAACCAAATTGAATGTTTTTGACTTTCAGACAATCACTTGGTTGATGAAGTTTATAATGGGACATAAAAATAACCTTTATAAACCAAGTGATTGTCTGAAAGTCAAACACGGTAATGTAAGTAAACCATTATGAAACTCGTTTTTTTTTTTCATTGATTGAGCATTAAAATTTAATTATGAGAACTGAATGCTTGCTTCCTTTAGTAGCTTTATATGGCTGTAAAGCGTTTATTTGCGCACATTTTTCAATTCTTTAATACAAACCATTTAAGAAATGAAACCCATTAAACAAATGGTCGATTTCAAGAGGAATTTTAAACTTTAAACATTTAAAATTAGACCGGAAATTCTATAAAAACTTTGTTTGGGAGAAATATGTTATTTTTTAATATCCTTCCTAATACGCATCAATTAGTAGTGAGACAAAATCTGTTCATTTAAAAAGCTTGAATAAGAGAACTAGAAAAGTATAATGATATAATACTGGGATTTGTAATGTATATAATACTTACTCCTTGAGCTTGACTTGGCAAATTTGACAGAACAAAGGTCGAACAACCCCAGAAATTCTCTTTTTTATTGATAATATTAACAACTTGAAGAACTCCACTGGCTTCATAGTAACCAAACTTTAAATCCCTTGAGAAATCTCCATACAAATGGTGCCTGAATTTCAAACATGAATCGCCGTTTGGCTTACTGAAACCTATTTTCAGAGTTGAAATTCTTTCAGGGATCTCGCTATCAATTTGAATAAAATACACTGCAAAAATGAGTATTAATAGAATAACAACAAGTGTCATGATACTAAAACACAATTTAAAACCGATTCAATGGACATTTGGGTTACACATCTATGAAATATGTTCATAAAGTTTATTATTTATTCTGTATGCTTCGAAGTCAAACTTTGATATCATATACATGTACATCTTAGCTAGCAAAAAGTTGCGATCCCGCCCTATCCTCTTCTCCCTTGGCAGATTAAGACAGCATTTGTGAATACAGTGGAGGGGAGGGCCCGGATCGTAACCATTGGCTAGCAAAGATGGACCATAAAGTACAAATCACATCCACACACAAAGAAAATGCACAGAACAACAAGTATACTGCAACACGTCACATTCTTGTCTGGAATTATAAACAAAATTAGGTTCCTGTTTTATTGTATGGTACAAATCAATAAATCTAAGAATTCCTGTTTTATTTTATCCTTTGCAGTACTTATGATGTACACTAGCCTACAACCACCAATGTTAATAGATGTATGGTAAACATAAAAAATCCGTCAACAGAAAAAAAACATTGAAAATTCAACATACGGCCTTCAAAAATTGCTCTTAAGCGTCTTGAGTGTACACAAGTTGTGAATAAACTTAACAGAGACTGCCTAAGATCTCTCAACAATACAAAAAAAGCTTGTTTGTAAAGGCAATTTAACTTCATATTTTAAAGTTATTTTATTTTTTCGTTGAGGGGAGGGGGACTCCCAAATTTAATTACCCGACGGAATGCTTTGTACAATCGCGGATGACGTTTCCGCTTATTATACAATTCAAAAAACTCATATCAAAATCACGATTAAGGACTTACAAAGAATAAAAATAATCATGTGACAACTTTTGTGACCATAAAATTGGTATGAAATCAAAAAAACAACTTTAATGTGGAACAGAAAAGACGTTAAGAAAACAAAATTTGCAACCGGTTTCGTTTTTATGTCCCTTACGTAACGTTTTAAAAGTATTATTATAAGACTCACTACATTGTGCCTTTTTTTGAGTAGCCACTTAACATAGTTGGTACACATTTTTTACAATTTAAAACTATTTTAAAAAGCCACTGCCATTTCAAATAATTGAAAATATCAATGATACATCGATTATTGGTTTCCAATGAGACAAGCATGCTCCTATAGTTTATGGTACATTTTTCGTTGCCCAATAAAATATTTTTTTCAATCATATTCGATGATCAAATTGAATTTTTTGATAAGTCCATAAATGTTAAATGTCCGAGAGCCAAAAATGTTTCAAATTAAACCTAAATTAAATGTATGATATGTGGCTGAGGCACAAATATACAATTTTTTGAAAAATGCCTAGATGTACAGGTTTAAGTAATATATTATAAAGTATTAATGAACACATACTTCCATCTGCAGCAGCTTGTGGACCTGATGAATCAAATTTAGATTTGGTTCTTCTTATCCAATTGTCACTGCTCCATCCACAAAGGTCTACTTCAAAACTACACGTAATCCCTGTGGAAAAAAGAGAGTCTTGTTTTAATGTTTATAATTTTCTTGTAAACACAACTCTATTACTGCAAAAAAGTTAATATTTTGGAGTTCATACTATGCACTCGTTGACATAAACAGGTTTTTTGTTGTGTGTTATTTTGTTTTTTTTTTTACTTTTTTTTTGCAAACAAATGCAAGTAGAACAAAAGACAGGGGTATCGTGCATATTTCTGAAAAATAATAAGTCTAAGAATTTTTTTTTTTAATTTCATTTGAATTATTTGAAAATTCTAAAACATTCGTAAAATTATATATTTTTGGCAATTATTTTACAAAAGGGTTAACTAAATTTGGCAACCACTAGTTAGCAGTTTTTTTAATTTTTTTTATCGTATTTTTTCTAATTTTAATTTGCTTTTGGAATTAATAAATAAATACACAGTACTAGTATGTGCTTCCGTGTTTTAATGTAATATTTTGAAATGATCCCGAAAATGGTCCTGCGGTTTTTTCTAAACCACACAACTGAAGGTATGCTCTTCTTTTTATCATTTCCTCAATGCCAGATATTATATTTCAGTATTATAGTTTTGACCTCCATTAATGTACGTTCGTATTTACACAGGGCTTAATATCGTTTGTTATGTATGGCAGATGTTAAGTCTTATGTCTTTATAATAGAAGTAAAGAGTGGTTCTGTAATGTCACTATCATAAATATTTCATTGAGTATATGTCTCCTTTAATTATTATGATATTCCAAAGCTTACTTTTCCGAACATGTTTTCATTGATGGAGGATTGCTGCTTTAAAAAGGATGCCACTGGACCAAGGGTTCCTAATAGTAAAGTTGAAGTGACCCCACCGAAAGTCTAACGGGCGTCATCATGATTTGTTGGTCGTTATGGTATATCTGTGTGACAGATAAATTGCAATTGTGCTTATTCTTATGGAGCACCTATGATCACCCCACTTTCGGTGAGCTTTCATGTTTCTCAGTGTAAGTTTTCTATGTAGTGTTTTTAAACTGTGGTTTGTCTTTTCGTCTCTTTTTTACTGATCGTCCCCTCAGTATAATCTAATCTTTTTTTTATTACAACATTTGCAGTTGCGATGAGGTCTGATATACAAATGTATCAAACCACTAAGCCCCAAAGATAAATTTTGCCAGCTTCAGTGCCGGAGCAGAAATATTCTTGAGCAATTATTATGATTAACTGTGATTTAGCTACTATCTTTAGGTAATACTTCTATCAATCTCAAACCCTACGAAAGTGTAGTGCATTTGACCATCAAATATTATATGACATTAATTTCACACAAAACATTTTATCGACCTTAGTATGAGTAAAATTTAAAAAAAACTTTCTAGTCTAGAATACATCGACGAATTATTGAGGTACATCTATACGTAAATGGTCCATTTAACAGATGATACACTGTAGTAGGTAATGTTAAATTATGACAATGCAAGGTGTTCACAGAGAACATATCGTTTTTTCTTATATCCAATTTTATATTTTAAATAATATACCGTCCCTTTTTAACCTCATAACTATGCCAGGCCAAAAGTCATAGTGCTTTTTAAAACTTCATTGTGATAATAATATGGATGAATGAATTAAAGTTTCTTGAGGTTTTTTTTCTCTCTCTCCAGACGATATAACAATGTTGTCAATTACACTGAGGCTCTGGAACATGTGTTAATACATTCTTAAGATTATAATAGCATAAACGGTTTGACAAAAAGTCCACAATTATCAATCAATCAATGAGAAAGTATCCCAATACAAACACGCATACAAACAAAACAACAGACATCTAGAGATCAACATACAGTTTCAACGATAGACGAATGTTCATGCAATATGTCTAGCTTAAAGGGGCATTAGCTACGAGATAGAATAAAAAATAAAATATGATTTGTTTTTTGTTCAACCAGCCAGTTCGGTTTAGTTTTGTCAAAATAAGCTATGAAACATTTCTGATGAACTATTCACTTACAAGTGAATAATTCGATCTCATCAAATCCGTATTCATGTGACCTTCAATTTAACCCCTTTGCTGGCGATGGGTTACGCATGTATTCAGCTATTAAGAGGAGAATGTCAACATTGAAAGTGAAACAAGGATGAACCATTTGGTTGACTGATTCGATCCACAAAAAAAATCATTCTTATACAGATAAAAACGATGATGAACATTCTTTTAATCTACAATATGAAATCAAACAGACCTAGAAAAATCCAATTGCACGTGGTTGCTATCTGTTTATATCTATATTTATGTTTATGTCGGGTGAAATGACCGTCGGCAGTCTTCGCAGGTCATCTCGACGTTTAATTAGATGACGTCTAGACAAAAATACACACGAAATATTATCGAGATCATGCACTATTAATTGTTTATTTTAGATTTTTTGTAATTTGGATATGCGTTTTAGTATGGTATTAATCAAATATGAGAATTTGAGTCAAATCGGTGAACACGAACTTGACAGCTAATTCCCCTTTTTAACGGAGACTAAACGAAATGTACCATCAACACCATATGACCAAGAAAACTTTAAGCCAGTCTTGACTTTTGACAATCTCAACGGCCAGGGAAAACTGACACAAAATATGGCAAACTTTGATCTAAAAGAAACTAATCCTCGTTTTCCTGAAAGTGATGGGAATAAATCCTGATTTAAATCGGATCGTCATTGTTTATTTCTTAAAGGTAAGTCAGTCGTCTTCATGGCAACTAGTTTATTTACGTAATAGTACCGTTTTCTTACTCATATTCAATTTCTAACTCAAGATGGTAATACACAGAATACTTAGAGAATTCAAAAGACAAATATAGTCATTCTACGAGAAATTCTTTCGGGTCAATTTACTCTCATTTCAAATATTAAACATTCATATCTTCTTTGACTATTCGATACTGTCAGCAAATGACTTTAATCGATTTACCAAAAAAGAGAGAAGATACTAAAGGGAAAATAAGAAATTATAATCCCATCAAAGCCAATCAGAAAAAAAAAAACGACGAACAGAAAACAACAATAACAAAACACTACACAGAAAACAAAAAGATTGGACAACACAAAACCCGCTAAGTACCGGGAGGGACACCAACTTAATAAATCAATTAGTCATGTTAATGCTAAACCTACACTTCACCGAAAGAAAAGATTGAAATGGAAAAGAAACTTTGATACAGTAGTGTCAATTATGATTAAAAGTCAACCAACATAAAGATAATGATTCAACACAGTCTTGAGAATTCACACGAACATTGTGTCGGTTGAAGGAATGTGACACAAATATAATAGATTTTTGTGTTCTTGTTAAAAGATGAAACGTTCGAGTGTGAATTAATACATGTAAATATGAGTTGCAACTTTATGTAGAAAGTGTTAAAAATATTCAATTACTTTTTGTTTTCGACATTCAATTCTAGAAAGAAAAGTTTAAAATAAGTATCTCAAGTAATGAGTAAATATTGTTATTGTGTCCTATTTATTTTTATCACCTTTTTTATCAACACAATTCTTTTAAATCTTTATAAAGTTATTTTATTTCCTTGTCAATAAACAATATAGTGTTAATTTAAAAACTCGGGCTGTTTTTTGTAAATGAAAATCTCTCATTAAGTGAGCTTCGTCGAAGGTACAAGAAGCCAAAAAAAAAAATTGCAATTGGCAGGCTAACAATTTAACAATATAACAGACTTCAAAAAATCCATTCATATCGAAGTCTAATTGAAAATATTTGGATTTGCTCCTATTTCATTCAAACATTAATAAAATAAACAGTGAAAATATAAGGAAATGTGGTATGATTGCCAATGAGACAAATATCCACCAGAGTTCAAATGAAGTGGGTGTAAGCAATTATAGCCTACAGCAATGAGCAAATCCCATACCGTATAGTCGGCTGTAAAAAGCCCCGACAAGAAAAATGAGATACAATTCAAACTAGAAAACTAACGGCCTAATTTATAACAAAACAATTAACGAAAAAACAAATATGACAGACATGAAAAAACGGCAACCAATGCACTTGACTTCGGACAGGCAAATACAGAATGTGGCGGGAGTAAACATGTTTGTGAGCGCTCAACCCTACCCTAACCTGGGACATTGGTGAAACAGCACAACATAAGAACAAACAGGTTGATTTGTCCGCTAACTGATTTTAAGATACATGTACCACCCGAGGTGAATTTTATGAATTCATCGTGAAACATTGATTCAGAATTGCATTGGTTGATCATTGAGTTGTTAGCAATTCCCTACCTTCATTACTACAAAGAATTAAATCTGTTACCACCACAAATATTATAATCACCAAGAGGTTTATCCATTTGAAATTCCTAATCATAGTTATGACAAAATATCATCCAGGAAGTATTTTGTTTTGTTTTTTTTAATATCTACCTGTGTTACTTATCATGTGGTACAAGATTTAAAGTCTTTAAAAAACCTACTGTTCGATAAGATTTGACAGGTAAAATTAAAGCAGTGATGACAAAACATTTTTATATATGTAAATAAATTCTCATTGACACATATACTGTTTCACCGATATATTAAAAGCTGTAGACAAAAGTTGCATATTATTTTCACCCATATCGCGTAGTAGTCACTCTATTAAACAAAATATAGATGACTGATTTGCACCGGTAACTGTATAGTTTGAATTGAATTAAAATGGCACTCTATTAATTTGGTGCGTTGGAAGGGCTTTTCTTCCAGATTTACCTTCATTTGGAATGTTCAAACACAAACATTTGAATGCCAGTGATGTATAAGGCTAGCACTTTGTTACATGACACTTTTAAAAGAGACATACAAAACATGTTTAACCCCGCCTTATTTTTGCGCTTGTCCCAAGTCAGGAGCCTCTGGCCTTTGTTAGTCTTGTATGTTTTTTAATTTTAGTTCATTTATATGTTTTGGAGTTTAGTGTGACGTCCATTTCTACTGAACTAGCACACAATTTTATTTAGGGGCCAGCTGAGGACCACCTCCGGGTGCGGGATTTTCTCGCTGCATTGAAGACCCATTGGCGGCCTTCGGCTGTTGTCTGCTCTTTGGTCGGGTTGTTGTCTCTTTGACATATTCCCCATTTCCATTCTCAATTTTATTTAAAGAATAGCAAAATTCATTTTAGGTCAACTTTGTTTGCGGAAGCTGGATTCTTAGTTTCTTAATAATGTTTGTATTTATCAACGGAAATTTTGTAATTATATTATGTTTATTATGGACAATAAAATCTCTCAGGATGAACGTATATATTTTTTTTTTATATATATATATATACTTGGTCTCAAATTTAGCACAACATCGGCAAATATTTGTTCTTCCCTCAGCGGTATTTGAATCCCTGCATCTTAGACATCGTGGCAATACCGCCTTCACTGTGTCCAGCGCCCTAGACCAAAAGGATTGATTGCATTCTGTATACATTTGTTATATATGTGACGCTTCCGACATTTGCTGAGGAAGTTCGGAATTTTAACCGAGGTTTGGACTTATATGTTTGTCTTTAAGCAATCATTATGATAATAATGCTATAGATGCATTTAATAATCAATTTCATCATCTATTGGGGATTAAGTTATGCAGTCGTTAGTTTTCTGAGCAGTGTATTGTGGATTAACTGTCCTTATCGTATTTTCTTTTGAGTATGGTGTTTCTTTTTACTGTTTGACGGATGTTTGCTTCCGTCCTTTTAAAAGGTCTGACTATTTTCTGAGGCATTTACAAACCACTTTTGTTGTAGAAAAATGAGTCCAGACAGAAAACAAAACCAAAACAAAGAAACAAAAACAGTCACTGATATTAAATTTCAAGTAGACGTTATTGTATGATCAACAAAATGTTTAGTTTGTGATTGCTTGTAGTGACTGCGCTCATTCTTTGATTTATTGGGATTGTTAAATATTTTTGTAAATTTTTAAATATATTTTTCATGCATTGTTTTTTTTCTTCAGTTCTTTTATAATTGTATAAACTGTTTTTTCAGCTGTAGTCTTTATGCGTTTCAAATGTTTAGTTTGATATTCCTTTGAAAGAGAATAAAAAGGGTTTTTATTTTTAACTACATCACCTTCTTTCGAACGAGATAAAAGAGGGAAGTTTAATAACTTAACCAGTTTAATCCAATCACATGTGTTTTTAATTGTTCCATGTGAGGAACACTGTCATTGGTTATCGCTTTCTTAAGACTTTTTTTCTGTTGAGATATGATGTAATCGATCGTTTCTTTTCAATTAGTTAATACTGGCCTAGAATGGAAAAGATTTAGAGCGAGTCATACATGTACATGCAGTATAGGTACTTTACCGAATTATTACTTATGCATATCTTTTTGTTTTAAGGTTGTTTTATTGTTCTCTCGTCTATGTTAAATTCGCCTCTTTTCGCCCTTTACAAAATGCACAATAACTGTAAATGTAGAGTCTTGGCCTTAAGTCGACTTTTCATGATTCAGCCCTTTTTGCTGGGTTAGAAAAAAATAAACTGATAACCATTATATTTTTTAATCTCGGCAACATTTGTATAACAGGTAAACAGTAAAACGAGCCATTCTCTCAACTACAACTGCTACCAATTAATTTGTGATTTTAAATGGCAATGGAAATCAACACTGTAAAAAAAAACACAAACGTAATAGTAAGAAACATATTGTGACTAGGCATTAATTTATCTTAAACGATAACTGAGAATATAAAATTGTTCAAACTAAAACAATATGAAAAATAAAAAAATAAACATAAAGGGAAATGGACACGCATCTTGATTAAAAAACGTCTAGCTTTTTGATACACATCGCTCAACGAAAAAACACAACCCTCGCACCACTTCCTGAAGTAAGAAATAATCAATTAAAAAACATGAGGAAGAAGTTAAAGAAAACAAGTGTATTTCATTGTCCTTTTCACTACGTGCATTTGTCGTTAGCCCAGCTCTAACGCAATGCGTTATGATGAATACACATTAGTAGCAAATAAATTGTGTAACATAAAAACTACATGCGATGCAACGCAGAAATAGTTATAGCGTGATATATAAGGTATATATAGGATATCAAGTTGCTTCATGTTTGCATCATATCTTTTATTAAAAAGTGAACTAATTGAACGGATTTCCAACATTTGTCCAAGTATGCATAACAACAAAATTATTTTTATTTACCTGTGTTTAAAGTAATTGCATATGGCTGATATTTTTGTTCAAGTATATTGTTTTTCTTAAATTGTTTAACATTTCACAGCGGTATAACATGTTACTTTAATTATTCTTCCCTTAGTTTATTTATTTTGTATTTGCATTGTATCATAGATCAAATTTATTTGTTCAGTGTATGTTCACTGGTGTTAATATGTCTTTTGATTGAGTTTAGCCATTTCAAATGATATTTTATAGTGTGTTTTTCTATGTTGTGATGTTACACTATTGTTTCAGATAAGAGTGAAGGTTTGGTACCATTAAAACGTTTAAACCCGCTGCAATTGTTTGCACCTGTCCTAAATCAGGAATCTGATGTTCAGTAGTTGTCGTTTGTTGATGTGGTTCATAAGTGTTTCTCGTTTCTCGTTTTTTATATAGATTAGACCGTTGGTTTTCCCGTGTGAATGGTTTTACACTAACAATTTTTGGGGGCCTTTATAGCTTGTTGTTCGGTGTGAGCCAAGGCTCCTTGTTGAAGACCGTACTTTGACCTATAATGGTTTACTTTTATAAATTTTGACTTGGATGGAGAGTTGTCTCATTGGCACTCATACCGCATCTTCTTATATCTATGAACATTTCAATCGAAATTAAAGTGAAGCATGTTATTAGAATACCAGGTGGTTAACTTCCCAATGAAGTATAAATTCTGTACACCTTGTCCGCGAACACTTGCATTAGTCTTCTTACTATCGAAATCCCTGTATATGTAGTTTTGTTTCCAATGTTTTAGTCCATGTGGCTTTAAAATACTAGAAAAATAAAACTGATTGAGATATGAAACCAGGATTGACCATCCGCTATCCTTTGTAAAGTTCTCGTACTAGGTCAACAAGACGTCCTGTTTTATTTGTCAAGTCCAAATTCGAAGTTTTTCTAATTTTTCCAGTAAATTTGGTCAATAAATATATATTACAAATGAAAGGATTTAGTTCGCATATTGTCCTATTTTCTTTATCTTTTGACGTTAAACTGATAAATATGTGTCAAATGGAAACTTAAAGGCTTAACATATATTGTGGAAATTCACCGAGATTTTATTCTCAAAAGATTGCATACATCTATTTTTTCCTAAATCCGATTAAACTTTAAACAATAAGAAATATTCACATATTTAAGTAGGAGGAAATATCGAGAAATGTAAATACAAAATAAATATTTATATGAGAGGTGTCGTTCATAGAGATAAACACCGTGGTCAATTATTTAGTGGTTACTCGCATACTCGTTGAAAATCATACATATTCAGAAAACATATAAAAAAACTATGTACTTTTCTCGGAAACGTAGAAGTTCTTTTTCTATCATATTGCAACTACTATGACATTTATTGTGAGTTGGTTGATATTATATAAATAGTTTTCATAATTTCATATTACCTCAAGTTTAAATAACATTTAAATTTAAAATTTTTAACAAAAAATACCGAACGCCAAGGAAAATTCAAAACGGAAAATCCCTTGTCAAATGGCAAGTTCAACAGCCCAAACACATCAAACGAACGGAAAACAACTGTCATAACTATGTCAACAACAAGAAAAACAAAATGTCATATAGACACTCTATAGACAAAGTACATAAGCAAACATGTAAGACAAGAATACAAAAAATGACCTTAGTACAATAACACAATGGCGGGATGTATAAATACCGAGTCACGCAAACAGGATATTACCAAAAATGGACTAAGCAGGAAAGATTAAAGATATACAAAGACAAATAAAAAGAACCCGTAATTAAGATGATAAACAAGTCAGTACCATCATGAATTATTTGTGAAGTTGATACGGAATATTTATTAACAAGGTCTTGGTATCTTCCGATGAACTTTTTTATAAAAAGGACGAGACGTTCTTTGACATAATCGTGGTTCATCAACTTTCTGCTCAGACATGTACTGGTGACGTTTTATAAAGTCGGAGAAGCAGCTGCAAGCTCTTGAATACCGCATGAGTTGGGAAATGTATATCGCATATGCAAGTGAAGTTGGTATATTGCTGCTAAAGTGGAGGAAATTTATGATTTGAAAATTAAAATCGTCTCGTTTGTCATGGATTCTGGTACTGAGATGACCGCTTACGTCAAATTCGAGGTATAAATCTAAAATGAGGCGGAGGAAGCCGTGTCTGTTGTTTCTTTAGTTCCTAGTTAAATGAAATCATTAATTAAAAGTTCATATTTCATACTTTATACATAGTTTACGCA